TTCTCTCTCTCTCTCTCTCTCTCTCTCTCTCTTCCTCTCTACTCCCCCCTCTCTCTCTTTATCTCTCTCTCTCTTTCTCTGTGTGTCTCTCACTCTCTCTCCCCTCTCTCTGTCTCTCTCTCTGTCTCTCTCTCTGTCTCTCTCTCTTTCTCTCTCCCCCTCTCTCTCTCCCTCTCTCTCTCTCTCTCTCTCTCTCTCCCTCTCTCTCCCTCTCTCCCCTCTCCCCCACCCGTTCCCCTCCTATCTCACCCGACTGGTGTATGATAGAGACTTTGAATCTGGCCTTCATGTCTGGCTCATCAAAACACGGGAACACCCGCCGTGCGTCTGTCGCCTGCAGCTGGGACGAGGCCAGGTACCTGGGGAAAAACGCGGGAAACACAAATCAACAATAAATTAATAATGCATTAATTATGTGTTTATGTACTTCTATATGATAATAATAATAATGAAGATCATTTCTATAGCGCCCACTCCCGTGTAAACACAGCTCTATGAGAACCAATCAGAGCCACATACTCTCAACACATCATCCCTGCATCCGATCCCGACATTGGGGATTGTCTTATTAGTGAGACAACTTCCTGAGCCTTGGGTATATTGTGGTAGGGTGGCCAGCTCCTTTCTACGCCGCCTTTACTTCCCTGACTCAAAGTCAGGTACCCACTACTGCTGGGTGGGCAGAAGGGGAAGAAAAAAACCCGTGTCTGAACCGAGGCTCAAACCTGGACTTTCCGCTTCAGAGACGAGCGCACTAACCTCTCCGCCACCGTACCAGTACAGCGCAAAATGTTATAACAGTATCTCTAGTGATAGAACAGTGCCTATTACTGCTGGAGCAAAAATTAAACAGCTCTGAGCCTTAAAAAAAAGGGGGGGGGGGGCTACACCTGAAGGCTATCTCGCTTATTACTGGACCGAATTTTACCAAATTACACACATACAACAAGCATAGTAAGGAGTCTTAAAACACGTAATCAAATTTGAGAAAAAGTTTCGTTTCCATGGATACAGCGGCCATATTGGATTGTGTTGACATGTCTTACGTAATGAATACCGCACTTACTGCTCCTGGAAATTAATTGTTTTTTTGCATGCGTGTTAACAAACATTTGATCTAAATATTTGTCTGTTGTTTTTTTCCTAAACGAAAATAAACAATTTTAATGAATTTTTTTCTGAGGTACCATTCTAGTTTGCACAAAATCCGGGAAAATTCACACTCAAGACACCACCAACAAAGAACTATTCCAAATATCGAGAAGTCAACAGACCAATTTATAGTATTACATCGTCTCTTCATTCTGTGAAAATTTCATGAATATTAACTTAAAAAATGGTGGAGTTATTCAAAAAGTATAGAGAAAAGTCGCGTTTAGAGAAAACGGTCGGTAAAGAAAAATAAAATATTGACTTTATTATGAGGAAATGGTGGTGATCGATAAACATGCCGGGTATGGGGAAAAAATACGATATTTGGGGGTTCTTATGCGATGAAATAGTTGTAGGAGAGGCTGAGGAAGCTAAAAATGCCAAAAATTCAAATTCCATAATTTTGAGCCGAATCGGGGCTTT